AATTTTGAATGTGTGGGTTGATGAATTTTCCCTTTTCATTTACTGTGGATTGGAAAATATTGAGTATACATGCCAAATTTCAGGTTATTTCAGTACCTTTGGATGCATTTAGGGTTGTTTTGAGTACTGTTGGTGTTTTTTCCATTTTTCTGCATTGTTTTCGGGGTTTTTTTTTTTTTTCGTATTTTCCTTGCATCGTTTAGGGTTTTTTTTCTGCTTTAGTTCATAAGTTTTATCTTCCTGACACTTTCGTCCCTCATTTTAATCCATATCACGATTAAGTCCCTGCAAAACAAAACACAGATTTTAAATGTTTTTCATTCAGTACAAAATGACATTAATTTAATTTAATATGGATTTCCCTTTTACAAATCTTTCGCTTAATTTCTCACGTCACCTTAAAATTTTTGAAATTTCACTTAAAACTTAAAATTTTATGAGAAATAAAAATTGTAAAAATTTTGAGATATTTTTAAAAATAAATCAAATAAAAATCAAGTTATAACAAGAAGTATTGGATAGTAACTAGGGGTTGGGAACTTGAGAGAGACTGAGGAAAGGTGTTGTGAGGTGTGGCTGGCTTGGGATACAATTGATGGTGTAGCATGGCTAGTGATGGTGCAGTCTACGATGGGGTGTTCTGAAGATAAGAGTTTGAATATGGAAGGGTTGGAATCAATAAGGTGAATCAAGATGCCTGGAAGAGAAAGAATCAAATAAAATGCCTTTGGATCTTTTTTGTTCTAAATGCTAAAGTAAATAAAAGAAAACCAAAAAGATGGAAATTCTTATTTAGAAAACCTAGAATAACAAAGATGCATTTTTTTCATAAGAGAAATGAAAATTATATAGGTTAAATCTCTAATTTGATTTCTCAACTACTATATGCATTTTTGGATTGGTCTTTGAAAAGAACCAAAAAATTCATGATTTGAAGTTTTTAAATTTGGATTTAAATTAATTTTTTTGTTAAAAAATAATTGACGTGTTCATTAATTGATGTAGGAACCTATCACTTTTCAATCACGTCATGGGACATGTCTTTATTTTAATAGAGCCCATGGATTAACTTGAAAGTTCATATAATAGTTGAATGATCAAATTAAGAGTTTAATAAAATATACAAGAAGATTTTTTAATCCGATAATTAATTGTAATATCTAGAATTAATTTTACATAAATTTTCATATAATATTCAAATAAAATAAAATATAAAATATAAAAATATAATATAATATAATATTTATACTTAAAATATATAAAAAAATATAAATTTAACATGAAAATTTATGTATTAATTAAAGATAGTTTAATTAATGAGTCTTAACCATAAAGTTAGCCAAACCCTAAAACAATAGGAAGGATTGCGGAAGCAACAATACCACTGTTACGGTTTAAAGTAGGGAAAAGCAAGAAGAGAAAATTGAAAGATTTTGTTATTATTGAGAGATGTGTAGAGAGTTACATATAATAGCATTTACATAGAGTAGAAGGTAGACAATATAAGAAAATAAATTATTATATCAAAAACACTTAAATATAGAGTAAGAAAAGTATATATTAGTTTCAACTCTCAAAATAAATTGGAGTTTCAACTTTAAATTATATCATTTTATTTAATTAAAACTTAATTTAAAATTTAAAAATTTATTTTATTAAATATTGATATTTAAATTTAAAAACTAATTATGTTATATATAATCAATTTCTAAATCTAGGTATTAACATTTAATAGGATGGATTTCTGAATTTTAAGTAGGGATTTCATTTTTCAAATATAAATTGGGACTCGATTTTTTTTTTCAAAAAAAGAAAGACTGATATGCAATAATTTCATATAATCTACCTCTTAATATCATAATCAAATATACGTTATTTAATTAATCAATTATTGACATGATTGGGTTTTGTTTGATATAACGGTTAAAACCTAATAGATAGTGGATAATGGCTACGAATAACAAAAAGCAGAATGTAAATAGTAAATTTTGATTAATATAATTATTTAGTTATATAATAATTAATGGTTATTATTTGACATTAAATAATTAATAAAGATATGTTTAAAGGTCATTAAGTGGATTTTT